AATGTCTCCAATCCAAAGAAGTGTGTTTTTGGTTGTAAGGGAAAGATAACATTGTTCAGCTTCCTAAAGAACCCAGCGTTATGTAAACAGTGGATACAGTTTGTTTTTCCGGAGCAGCAATGGAGTTTCACAAGTGTGTTTGTTGACAAAAGTTTTATAAACAAGGCCCAGTTCGACGCTGGATTTGCACATCGTTTGATACTGAAAGATGGAGCGGTCCTAGTCATGATTCAGAACTGCAGAAGGTAAGTGAAATGGCATCAAATGTCTGTTTTGTTGGCATTCGGCGCCCAAGTGCTCGTCACTCTTTAGCTCCGCCCACGGCGTGCCTCCAGGATCTCGGCTTTTTCCGGAGAGAATCGTAAAGCTGTATCTTTCTTTTATAAATATGATAAAACTAAAGACTTTTTGGAGATATGAAGGATGCAGTACTACTCTATAGGTACTCAAGATTAACATGAGATTGGGTGAAACTGTGTGTCCCTTTTAACTCCACTTTAACTCCCTACATGTCTTACTCTCCTTTTTTTTCTCTCTCTATTGTCCAGCGTACTTCAAAGTGTGTGCTGAGCAGTGGTAGCTCATCTGAGGCGTTGCATCAGTTGAGGGCCATGAGTGCTGCCACCCCATCCTGCCCTCATGGGTCTGTAGAAATGTCTGCCATCCCAACTCTATATGCTGCTGCTTTCTCCATGCCTCCTGCAGTCCAACAACAGTCTCCAGCTACTGTATCTCCTGTCCAGAATCGATCCTGCACTCCAGTAGGGCATGGGGTACCTATAATCACTGGCCCAATCTGCGGTGTTAATCATCAGGTGGGATTTGTAATGCCAATCGTCCCTTTGGCATCATCCACTGGGTCCTCAACCTGTCCCTCATCTGCAGTGCTAGCAACACAGGTGCCCAACCAATCTCAGGTCAGCCAGCCTCAACCTAACCCAAATCAACCAGTACTGCTTATTTGCAATGACCAGGAGCAGGAGTTATGTTCTGAAGAAAGTTCAAAAGAGGGTGGTACTAATGCAGAGGAAGACCAAAAAGATAGGGTGGACACTACACCTGTCAGAGACATTAGCTGTGAGACCAGCAATGAGAAATTAACAGTTCTGAGTCACAAAGCCAAACCCACCAGTCCAGAGAAAACCACACAGAATGTGATTACTGTTAAATACCTGCTGGGAGAGCTGAAGACTTCAGTTCTTTTGTTCCAAACCTGTATGATGTTCTTTTCTTCTTTGGAACACAAGATATGTTTTTGTCCATTCATTGAACAACAACATTGGACTTTAATTTTATGGACAAAAACAATGAGACATTTATTGACGTATCTTTTAAAATTTCTCTTGTTCTCTGTATGTTGTTGTCATCAGGATCTTATTACAGGGATGTCTCCCAGTCTTCCTTTATGTCCTGATCTCTAGATCTGATTAATGAAAGCGGATACCCCATTTCAAATTTGAGATGGTTATTTAATTCACTTTCTGTAACATAATAAAAAATTGGATCTCCAGAGTATCAAATCACCCAATGATTGAGTTGCTGGTTTTGCAGATTCTAGAAACTTGGCAGATAAGCAGTGTGCATGTGTTAGTTTCACATTGTGTTATCGTTCACTCTTCTTCTGTGCAGACAGTGATGTTGTGCGGCTGATCTCTGAGGTGGAGCAGAGCATCTCACTGCTTCCTGTCATGGTGAGCAGCACTAACATCCAGGCTGAAATCGCGCTCGCCTTACAGCCACTCAGGAGTGAGAACGTACAGCAGCGAAGGTCAGCGACAGTGACAGAGTGTATAGAATACTAAATCTTAACGACTGCAGAATGGAATATGATAAAATATAAAACTAATTAAATGCATTACATGAGGCAATTCATCTAAACTTAAAAACGAATCACATTTATCAATATGTGTTGTGAAAAGCTTCCAACTCGAGCTAATTCAGAGTCTTTATTGTGGCAGACAAAAGCATGAATAACATACATAAGCGACCTTAGAAGTCAATATATTGTTTATTTTATTTGCATGGCACCGGACATAAGCTTGATTATGCAGATTAATTATGTTAAATTTTCATCACGTTATTTTTATCTTTATAAATCACACTTAAATTGACAAGCCTAATTTGTATTAATTTGCATGTCTCCCAGGCGTTTGCGAATACTCAATCAGCAGTTATTAGAGAAAGAGAGAGCAGAACGACGGAACAGGCCGGAGGCCTGCGACATGGAGGGTGAGCGGCTTCATGCTGTCTCTAAAGGGCTTGACTTAGAAAGGAATAAATCAATGTAAGAGTAAATGTACAAATATGTTCTTAGAATTTAGCCTTTTATTCTGTGTCTAGACAAGTGGATATATGAAAACAACCTTTGTGTTTGCTGGAATGATTGTGTTACAGTGGTTGCGTTGCAGTCTCTGAACCTCACTCTACAAACTCAGTTAAATGAGAGCTGTAGGGAACTCGAAGATCTGCAACAGGAGACCATAAAACTACAGAAAGCCATGGAGGACAAAGACAGTGACCTGAAGCAGCACAAAGAGTTGTGTGAGTTAGAGAACAACCGGCTAAGACTGGGGAGGAGTATTCTTTTAGACTTGTTTTTTTTTTTTTTTTTTAGCTTTAAATCATGTTTAATTTGTTATTTTGGTTTTATTTTATTATATTTTTAAATATAGTAAATGTTATCCTTCTAGAATTTTTTATATTATCCTATCCTATTTAAAAAAAAAAAAAATCTTCAAACTAACTTTATAATCACTATATTGACGTTATATTAACAATTATAAGAGCATTCTAACAAGTTACCTTTATTTCACTAATATTGCATTTTAAAAAACATGACTGCTGTTACATTTACATATATTTTAACTTTTTCTTCATTCTGCAAGTGATTGTCATGTTACCCATGCAGAGGTGAGTGAGGCATTAGCTGAAATACAGAATTGCCAGAGTAAACTTGGAAAGTATGAGATTGAGAAGACTACACTGACTTTGAGCCTTCAGCAGAGATCGGCAGATTGCAGGAAGTCATCAGGTAACTATATAAACTGATGGGTTAGGTATAGAGTATATATATATATATATATAGGTATAGGTATAGGGTTCTTATAGAGTCATGGATAACAGTGATAAAACAATTTTACATGCAAATAAACATATCATTGTTTATAGTTCAGATTATCACCTTATCATCTTTTAAAAGGGAGGAGAAAGCACTTCTGTTTTGTTGTTGACGTTAAAGGCTGTGCATCCAGTCACTTGATTTAAAAAAAAATAGCCATATTAGACATGTTAATATAGACCGGTTGTGTGACAAGCTCTCTTTTTTGAGTGTAGGATAAGCAATTTTGATACTGTACTTTGTTGCCACTTGATGATCAATTTAAATTCTGGCTTGAGAACTACTCATCTAAACTACAATAAAATTACGCTTTCAAATGTAATTTAGACAATCTAGCTTGTAGCGGAATATGTAGGTCAAATGTTGTTTTTTCATGCACACAGAAATCTGCAGAGAAGTCAAACAAAAGACACCAGCAAATATTCTCATCAACTGGACTTACGTCAACCAAACTCTCAGCTTACCAAGAGTGTTCTGGAATTGCATGAAAATGCACAGAGGGAGACCGCTGTGTCAGATAAACTTTCGAACTCTGTAAAGACCTACCTTCAGACCCTGGAGGGCATCGAACAGGCCTCTCCTCCCCACCGAATTGACTGTAGGTCCCAGACATTACACTCAGCCTCCCCTGGTCAGATTGATGGTGGAAAAGAGAACTTTATGCCATCAGATACTAAAGTCTGCTCTCCATATATATGCAAACCAATCCTGGAAACCATAGCTGAAAATGTGGCTCAGTTAGAAGAGCAGAAAAGAACAACGTTTGCCCCTTTAAGAGAGACTCCAGTGGTGCAACTTGCCTCGGGAGTTGCTCATAATAATCTGCTCACTCAGTGTAATGAGCTGTTAACAGCCAAGAATCAAAGGGAAGATGTGGATGCTCATGTAGGGCTGAAATATATAGGCTGTGCTTTTGAAAAGCTGGACATCTCAGATGGGCTTCACATTCAGGATGTGAAGAATGATGGCCGAGATTACATTGTGGATCATCATGGAATGGCCTTACATTTGAATCCGAAAAATAAGGGCCCAAACAATCAGCTGGTGCAATCCCAACATGCCCATCGATGCCTAAGGATGGGGGTTCAGTCAGCATACACTGGATGTTCTTCAGTGATGGAGAACACCTTTTCCTCATTTGATATTAAATCTTTAGCCTCTAATTGGAGCATAAACACCTGGTCCACATTTAACACACAGGATGAGCAGAATTTCAGGGAAGGGCTTGCAGCACTAGATGCCAGCATAGAAAGTCTGCGGAAGACCCTGAAAGTTGATCTAAAGAAATAATTCAGTATTTCAGTGTGTGCAAAGTGTATTGTGCTTTTATTTGATTTTATGTAATTAGTGGATGTTTTTTTTTAACGTGTCTTAATTTTGTATTAAATTTATTATGTGAAATATCAAAGAATATTACATTTCTCAGTGTATTTTTTCTTTGGTCCTAAGACTATATTGCAGCTAGCAAAGGTTGCCTACTCGTATAATACAGAATCAACAGAAATGTTCCATATTAAATCTAACAGGGATTATCCTGTTTTTGATTAACTTCTAGAAATCAATTCAAATGTTTATTAAATTAATAAATAAGTCCTCCAATGCATGTTAATAAATTCAGTAACTGAAACTCACATGGTGCAAGGTGCCAAGAGACAGTAAGAAAGTTTATTAATCAAAAGCACACTGATGTAATGTTCCGAAAACAGGGAAGACAGTCTGTCACCCAGGGGTTTTTTTTAATAAAATGTTTGTTCCTTTTTATAAATAATTAGGATAGAAAGAGAGCCTTTGATAAGCTTAATTGGTAATTAAGCTAAAAAGGGATTGGCGTGACAGGAACGGTTTTGTCAGGAACTGTTGGCAGGCATACTTGACGGAGTTTTCAGTTGAGGATAGCGTTGATATGGAGCACTGGAGCACTGGCTTTGGGAACCAGCTCTGGCTCGGATGTGGCAGGAACATGTTTTACAGTAACCTCTGGAACGGCCATTACAGGAACCTTTGGGGCCAGGACAGTCATGGCAGGGAGCACACCTAAAGAGTGCTCTAGGGCAGTCATGAAATGAAGAGATCTGCTTCGAATCATGGAAGGAACCACTGGAGCAGCTAAGAATCCTTGCGACTGGAGCGGCTTTGAAAGGGAGCTCTGAGAACGCGAGTTCATACTGTAGGTGCCTCCAGGTTGGCCATTACAGGAATCAAGAGGACTGGTCCGGGGCGGCTAGAACAGCGAGTTCTAGGCTAGTAAGGCAGAGATATAATCCTCTGGCTGACCATGGTAGGAACCTTGCCGCCCTTGCAAGATGCTAAGGCATTGAGGGATGGAGATGCAAGATGCTAAGCTAACTGAGAAGCTCTGGAAGTGGTGCACCAGTTCTGTCTGGGATCACGTCAGGAACCTCTGAGACATTATTTAAACATCCCTAGACAAGTAATATTGCCATATGCAAACAGTACTGCCTTAAGCCAAGGTGCCAGATGCTACCAAGGCTTACCAGCTTCGCAAGATGCTAAGGCATGGAGGGATGGAGAGTCCACTCGTGTCAGCCCGCAAGATGCTAAGCTGACTGAAGAGCTCTGGAAGAAAGGTGGTTCATAGTGCAAATGAAATTTACATTAATTTGCACTATTTACGTTCTCCCCTTTTTTGTCTTATTTGTTGACCTGAAACGCACACAAAAATGCAGGTTTTCCAATGGTATTTGGCACTTATGAGGGCAATATAGTTGCGTGCCTGAAGAAAATAGATTGTTTTTGTTTGCTTACAAGAAGAATGCATATAGAAGAAAGTATATGAAAATATGGTGTAACTGGTCACTAGAATTTAAGTCGCAAACTACAGGTTTGAAAATAATACATACCCCAGAATGTCTCATAGGCAGTATTTTTAGAGGGTCCCTGTACCTGAAGTCAATCAGTTTGACAGTAATGGAGTGCTGGGACCAGGATGGCCTAGACCAGGGGTGGCGAACTCCGGTCCTGGAGAGCCGCAGCCCTGCAGAGTTCAGACCGTGATTAGCTTGTTCAGGTGTGTTTGATTAGGGTTGAAGCAAAACTCCGCAGGGCTGCGGCTCTCCAGGACCGACGTTCGCCACCCCTGGCCTAGACGGAGAGCTCTGGGACTGGAACTTGGGTGGTTTTAGGAATCTGGCCATGGCAGGAACATTGCTTTCTCTAACTGATGTGGTGTACATTTCATTTGTACTATTTACTGTACATTCTCCCCCTGCCATGTCTTATTTGGTGACCTGAAACACAAATCAACAACACAAATCAGGTTTATTGTCTACATACATTAGACTTAAAAGAGATTTGACTTCTTCCCATGTCACAGTTATACAACTACTCTATAAAAACTGCACAAAAATTTAAACATTTGAAAAAATAGTACCTTCAACCAATCATGGAGAATGATTTTCCCCAAACCAAATATTTGGTTTAAAAGCGGTTTGGCTTCCGCTGAAAGGACATTATCCACAATCTTTTATAAAATTGTGTGCTACTTTTCCATTTTGTTTCTTTGTTCTGTTTTGAATGATTTAGTATAACAATTACTGTTCTTTGCTGTGGTGAATGCCAGCTCACCTTTTGACAAGCCAGGTTTAGACCAGATGCCCGCCTCAATAATGTCCAGGTCTTTGCTCTCTGGAGGGTCTCCGCACACCAACTCGAACAAGAGCACTCCCAGAGACCACACAGTTGCGGGCTTCCCATGGTACTTGCCACTCTTTTCAAACTCAGGAGGGCAGTACACTTCTGTGCCTGAAGGAGAGAATTTTTTGACTAGTTACAAAAAGTTGCATATGAAACAATGCATATTCAAATGGTGTATCTGGTCACTTGAATTTAAGTTCCAAACTACAGGTTTGAGACATAATACATACCCCAAAATGTCTCATAGGCAGAGGTTTTTAGGAGGTCCCCGCACCCGAAGTCAATAAGTTTGACTTCAAGGGTGTCCTTGTTGATCAGCAGGTTCTCCAGTTTGATATTACGGTGGAGCACTCCACGGCGACAGCACGTGTGGGCAGCCTGCGCTACCTGCCACATGACAAGCCGCGCTAAGTCCTCACTGAGGACGCCTCCGTGGTGCTCCAGGAAATTAAACAGATCCTGTGTCAAAAGAAACCCTTTCAGAGTGATACAACGCCTGTCATTGTTTCTAACTAGTTCTCTCACATCTGACTTTAGATTATAATTGCTATATTTTGATTACAAGAGACTACAAACAATATACCCAGCCAACTGGGAACATTCTCAGAACTTTGGCAAATGTTCTGGCAGGGTTCTCTGAATGTGATGTTCTTCCAGTAACCGTAACAGAACATTCGTTCAAAGTTATCAGGTCTTTAATAATGTTATTTACATTAACATTATTTATACATCGTTCATGGAACGTTGTATGTTCGTCTAACATTAAAACATACTATTAGTTTCAGAAGAAACTTTAACAAAATGGTGTTTGAAAATGATAAACATTCCTTTCATGTTTTCATTAACATTCATATAGCCAAGAAAAACATTTTTTACATATTTTTTAAAAATGGGATGTTTTGAGCGTTAAGAGAACAGTCATACAACAGTCATTTTGAACTGTTGCCATCTGGTCGACGCTACAGAGCTCTGAGCACCAGAACGACCAGACACAGGAACAGTTTCTTCCCTCAGGCAATCCATCTCATGAACACTTAACAATAACTGTGGAACACACACTATTTATTCACTCATACACTTATTTATGTACACTTATTTAACACTCATACTCAGTCTACACCTCAAATTTGCACATAATATACCTGTACATACAAAATTGTCTATTGTAATATACCTGCACATACAATTGTCAATTTATATATTTTTATTCCTTATTTACTTGTTCAATTTTTTATTTATTTTTATTTTTTATTATTTGTGTTTTTTTGTTCTGTCACTGTCATTCTGTTACACTGTGGAAGCTTCTGTCACGAAAACAAATTCCTCGTATGTGTAAACTAAACATACCTGGCAATAAAGCTCATTCTGATTCTGATTCTGATAAATAAGGTTTTCATAACTTAATTGGAATGTTAGCAAGAAGTTCTAAGAACATAATTTTATTAGCTGAGAAGTAACCAAACGGATCATTTCATTTCTCTCTTTAACAGGACAAGGCACATAATGAGATGATTCGTCTATTTAGAAAAGTCTTTGATTCGATTGGCTGGCTCCTCAGGGCTCATACACATCTCATTCATCATGGTAAACAACAGCTTCTGTCAATTTAGCGAATTAACCATCTCAAGATGTGTTTAGAGATGGATTTTTAGCTTGAACTGAACTGAAACTCTTATTTTTAACATTCTTTTCTCAGTACTGAGATCTAAACATAATGAGAGTGTCCAGATCTGCGACGACAATGACGTCTGCATTGTTACTGTCATCATGTGGAACAATATCTTCAGGGCAAACGGGTACAACAGAAAAGCCACCTGATCCATAATACAGTCTTTATCCATGTAACTGCTTCACACCCAAATACTCATATACCTCTATCTTTCCCCTTGTTTCTGCAGTGCTGTTGTTGCTGAGATGGGAAACAGGGCTCTGACTGACAGCATGGATGATATTGTGTATAAAATGTCCAGTAGCTCGAATCCTGTGATTGGCAGAGCCAGCTGTAAAGACCCTTGTTCTGATTATGGACCACAGCAGCTCAACCCATCAGCTCATTCACAGGCGATACAGAGGTACAGTCGCAATCTATAGATCTCAGAACATCTTCAAGTTTTAGCTGCTGAGTGTTTAGACCAATCTTCAAAGGTTTGGTCCTGCAGATTTGGCTGAGAAAGACTGGCATGGGAAAGGCTTTGACTCTACTGGATCAGCTTATTGATCATTTGCGGTCACTAAGGTCACTTAGCCACCAGCTCAAAGTGTCATATTTTTACATTTGGTAGCAATACATTTTTTTCCTTTAGGTCCACTCATAATGTTAGTTCACCCAAAAATCACCCTTCCGGCCCATCCAAGATGTAGATAAGTTGTTTTCTTCATCGGAACAGATTTGGAGAAATTTAGCATTACATCATTTGTTCACTATTGGATCCTCTGCAGTGAATGGGTGCCGTCAGAATGAGAGTTCAAACAGCTGATAAAAACATCACAACAATCCACAAGCAACCCACACAATGCCAGTCCATCAATTAATGTCTTGTGAAGCAAAAATCTGTGTTTGTAATAAACAAATCCATGTTTTTAAATAAGAGCTGTTTTATGGATAGAGGATTTGGAGACAATGGTTTGAAGTGAAAGTGATCTTAATAATTGATTTGTTTATTACAAACATGCAGCTATTCGTTTTACAAGAATATCAGCTGTTTGGACTCTCATTCTGACGGCACCCATTCACTGCAGTGGATCCAATAGTGAGCAAGTGATGCAAAGCTACATTTCTCCAAATCTGTTTCGATGACATCATGGATGGCCTGAGGGTGAGTACATTTCCAGCAAATGTTCATTTTTGGGGGGAATTATTCCTTTAAGGCTTCTTTCATCAAAAACTCATAATATAGTTTTATATGATCATATCTATCTCTCTGACCCCTTAGAATTTTACTGGCTGTTTTCTTGTATGCTTATTGCTTATTATGTATTTCTTCACTCTACATATATAAATGAAGGAGTCATCTGAGGAGTATGTGAGAGCAGCTTGTATTATCCAGGCAGCCTGGAGAGCCCATCAGACCAGAAAAAGACTGAGGAAACTCCCCCGAGCGGTCAGCACATTACAGCGCAGCTTCAGGTAAGGAAATGAGACCGCCTGTCCCTCTGTGAAATGAAGAAAATGACAATTTAGAGCCCCTATATATATGGGAAATGAGATTTATCTTTGTGCATTAGGGAAAAGCGCAGACAACAACAGGAACACATTGAGAGACAACGTGCAGAAGAGGAATTACGTCATCAAGTGTGTCTGCGAAGACAGAGAGCCATGAGACAGTTCCGCCAACACCAGCTTCATCTGATGGAGATACTAGCAGCAGGTAACAAACACAAAATCAAACCTAGTGTAGTAAACCTTGTTGTGTGTATCAGGGTTATTGTCATTAACTAAAACTATTAAAACTTTTTGTTATGGAAAGAAGTAGCAAATTGTAGTTCATGGCTATGACATAAACTAGAGCCTATAGACTATACAAAAAAACCTTCACTCTCATATTCCTCCCTCAACTTACTGTTTCAATAGCAAGTATGTCAACACATGAAAGAACACAGCTTGTCAAACCATTTCATGAGGTCTTTAAAGGGTCATGAAACCCCAGCCTACTTTTTTCTGAGATTTTAGCAGAGGTGTTTGTGTTGCACATCATAGAAGACAATGTTAGCATCCGATAATTTTAACCGTTGGAGAAAACTGGTTAATTTGAAGCTTTTTTTGCGCTATTTTCATCTTCCGGGTTTAAAATCTACATCGTGTTGACGTCACAATTTGTGACGTGGCAATGGACTATAGTACATCAATGACGCCTAGGTGTCTATTAAATTATTCATGAGACTGCGTGTTCTTATCCTATTAGAAGAGGCTTCGCTTAATTATTTACAACAGCATGTGTTGATTTGCTATGACAGACGTTTCAGACTGTGAGATGACATCGCGCACATTAATTGAGAGAAACGTTTATGGATCGAAGAAGAGTGTTTGTTTTTGCTTTGTAATAAGAGTTCGGCACAAACGCGATTCATTCACTTGGTGAGCATAACCGTTTTTACAGCTCTGTGACACAACAACCCATCAAAAGGCTTATATAAACTCCACAGAATAAGCCTTAAAGGGGTCATATGATGCAATTTCAAGTTTTCCTTTCTCTTTGGAGTGTTACAAGCTCTTGGTGCATAAAGAAGATCTGTAAAGTTGCAAAGACTAAAGTCTCAAATCCAAAGAGATATTCTTTATAAAAGTTAAGAGTCAGCCACGCCTACCTAAAACGGCTCGTTCTAACACGCCCCCACATACCTACGTCACGATCTGGGAAGATTTGCATAACACCGCCCAAATGTTCACACAAAGAAAGAAGGAGTAACTTTTATTCTCGCTGTAATATTGAAAAGTGAAAAGTGAAAAAGTGAAAAGTGACGTGACATGTGGCCAAGTATGGTGACCCATACTC